CAAAATACACTTGTATTGTAAAAACTGTATTTTAAGTAAAAGTACTTTAAATACATGCCAGCCCTGATTATTGCAGAAAATTTGCATGCTATACGTATATAGGATATATCTGAAATAATGCCCCTGTAATCATACAGTGTTATTCCTATTAAAAAACTAAGTCGAAAAGTTCTCTAAAGGACTTTTCGACTAAGCTTTTTAGGAATAAGCTATATGATTAATGGGTGTTATTTCAGACTATATATATATATATATAGAATTAATTCTTAACTATAATTATGAGAACTATACCTAAGTTCTAAAGCAATCTATTTTAAATACAGAATACAAGTGAACTTCCACCTTATGATTGATAAAGAGAATAGTTCGAAGTTTTTTTTCTCTACAATTTAGAACATCATAGTATTAATCATATAGACATTCAACCATCTAAAATTTTTGTTTCAAGTTCAAGTGACCCGTTAGTCAAGGATTAATTATCAATCTGAAAATTAGATAAATAAATAATAATATGACATTTTGTGCTCCATTCTTGTAATAAAAATAAAACTTTCTTTGCTCTCCTCAGAGCGCTAGTCCAAACTCTGGAGAAATCCAAGAAGAAATATCAATCCAGACTGAAGAAGTTAGAGCAACAGATGCTGGGAATGGTAGAGAGACACGCTGTGCAGGTACGATCAAATATACAATGGTTGCGAAAAGTTTCTGGCCAATAAGTATTTTCATTGTATTGCATAGATAGAATCTTTACAAATAAAGATCTAATATACAAACACTTAATATATTCTATTACTTAAAATCATATTCTTAAGTTGATTATAACAAGAACTTTATTTAACTCATAAACTGAAAAATAGATTATCACAAAAAGTACTATAAAATCATATGGCTAGAAATTTTTGGCAGTTATTATGGATGAAATTATTAATCTTTCATTCATAAAAACAACAATAATTTATTACATTAGATAGACATTCGTCTGTAGCACTATTTCTTCTGTAACTCTTTCCGCCTCTCCTTTAGCTTCTGTTCGACTAAATCCTCCAAGTCATCAAGCGGTTTATAGATCTCGTGAACGTATTGCGAGCCAGCCAACATTGTAACTAGTGCTGCTGCACTGAATACAATGTACCGTGACAGAGACATCATCGTGTGATATCTCAATAGGAAGTTGGTGCGAAAATTGTCTTTTCAGATCTGTTCTAGCCTTAGTCTTCGTTCCACCAATTCCTCTACCCTTCGGCGCTTATATACTTTGTAGAAGTTAACCTCTCCAACTTGCCAGTGGATCATGGAATATTCCAAAGCAGCCCCGAAGATGAAAAAAATCGGCAGTAATCGATACTCCCCGAGTGCTTTTCCTGGCAGTTTGTTATATAACTTCCACAATTTTCGTCTATAAGATAACATCGAACCGTCTAAATTTTATTCGCCGATTTAGACGCACAACTATTCTTTTGTTAGCTGCCGCCATATTAGATTCCTGATGCGATTGCGGCATCAGGCATGCGCAATCAGCGTAGTAAAGGTGCCTTTTCATACTGATGCTTGACGCTCGCAACGTTCATAAAATTAGTTCATCCTTATTGTTTATCAAATGTTAAACAACAAAGACAAATTTAATAATGTTCGCGAGAATTATGAGCGCCAAATGGAACACCCTGAATAAGCGATGATGTATCACACTTTCATTAGAAAAGTGACATAAATAAAAAATTTTAAATTCTTCAGAAGAAAGAAAATTGCATATTTTAAAATTAATTATGCTAACATATTATGCTAATATATATTAAGGGATAAATCTCAAAAAAATTTATATGTCAATATAAGTTGTTTAGATTTTATATTTTGCATAATAATAAACTAAAAAAATATATCCGTTTTTTCTATCACGTGTTTTAAAGTCATACTTTACATTAATAAACAGATCGCATCAGGCATATCAGACGTATATTGCAATTGCATTATTCCTTAAATTAATTTTCTTAAATTAATTTTCCCTTGCAGGTGAAAACATTGAAGCAACGAATAGCTCTATTGGAGGAAGAATCAATGGGTTACAAGGGAAGTATGGCATTGCAGTCTCAAAGTTCTGGCGCCAGCGAAACATCTTTATGACAGTTGAGTGATTAAATGGCAAAAATGATGCAGTTTAGTAACCCAATAATTACTTTTAACATCTATCCTGTCGCAAGAGGACATAATCGAACACAAAAATGGAGATCGAAGTCACACACGTATTTTTTTACACCGAATAGTCGAAAATAAAGGCGCTTAGCTATGCTCTTTGTAATTATATCATGATATATATTGCTGTTGTCCTAAATAAAATAAAATAAAAAAGAAATTCAGCTAGGCCTACGCAATGTGTGCAATTGTGTCGATACACGGAACAACGCAAACAGCCTATTATAAAACAGATCCTTCAGCACGTCGTAAATTACAAATAATTAATTAGTAGTGTATCGCGCTAACGATAACTGTCGTGTACATATGTATATTGTAAAAGCATAAACCACAAGTGTGATATGTGTAAACTATAATGAAATAAACTCTGCTTTATTATAGATATACCCCATAATACGTTCACGAATGCTCTTTGTGGATACGATATCCATTATTAAAAATCTCTGTATAAATTATTTATTTTTATTTATATACATAAAAGTTTATATTATACTAAACATCCTGATTCTCCTGTTGCTGCATTTGCAATGCCATCGTTTCTGTTGCATTGTTACCTGGCACATCGGGTCCTTCCACCGCTGGTACATCATTAATCTCCACAGCCTCTTTATTCAAAAATATCCTTTGCATCTCCTCCTCTAAATGTACGCAAACCTGCTCGATCTCGTAATTTTTCGACACCAAACTGACCCACTGTGCTTCAAGAGCTCTCAGTTTGTCGCCTCCTTGAGTCTGCATTGATTTCCTCTGCCAGTTGACTTCCTGAATCTTTTTCCTCAGTGTCTGCAACTGCTTCTGAGCATGACCTAGCAGCTGAACTAGTACTTCTAAGTAAGATTTCCATGCTTCGCAACCGTAATCCATCATCAATTCCAAATTACAGATTCTAAAATTATACAAAAGTATAGAAGCCAGTACAAAAATCTGAGAAGACAAATGATATGTCAATAAGTCCTAAGTTGCGTTTGATTTGGACATTCACATACTTCTTTTTCTTGAACTCTTTCAATAAAGGCAAGGTTGATTCCAAAGTATAGGCGCCATAATCTCATATATAGAGAATTATTTGGCCATCAATGATTGAGATATATAAAAATTGGATAAATACATATTTGCGTTCCTGTGTATGTAATGTGTGACTGTTCGTAGTGTACTGTAACTCAGATTTGTATAGGTACCCAAAAAATTGTACAATCAATCCTCCCTGCCACATTAACTAAAAAAACTCTTATTTCTTTTCAATTTTGGACTCTACAAAGAGTGCTTATAAACGACATTTATATTATTCTTTTTAACATTTATAAGCACTCACTGATTTAGTAATGACATCAAGATCATGATGTTATATTTTCATTTAAGCCAGTGGAATCTAGAAAAACTTAGAAAAACACTTATAAATATATGAGTGTTTATAGCATGTGAACATCCAAATCATTCTAAACCATTAACCAAACATAGCTTTTGTTTACCTAGTAGCTTGATGTTCCAATTGCGCACTGCTGTTTTCCACACTCTCATTCCATGCAGTTAAATCGTTTAACTTACCAGATGGAGGCGGTGGTAATTCATAACGTTTCATACTAAGCACTTCCATCGGTAAGCGATTCTGCATCCTCTCAAATTCATGCTTCAATACGTCTGTCTCAAAGGCAGTTATACATAAAGGTTGTAGGTGTTCCAAATAATTTTTCGTCGGTCTGTAACGTCGTGTCTCTTCCTCCACCATCGCCAATGCCTAAGAAACAACATTAAACCCCAAATATTTCGTGAAATAAAATAAATTTGCACGAGGATTTTTCTTAATAAAATTAATTCTTTCAAAGCATAACCTATCATTACTATTATTCTGTTAGATTGTAAAAAAATATGAATGTAATTCTTATTCACCGCTTCTCGTACGCCCGGCTCATCATATCCTTGATCAATATACGGTAATGCACCAACAATCCCTCCCCCTGCCATAATATATTAAATAAAAATTATTCTGTTAATTTTCTATAAACAAATTACAAGCGTCACAGAGTATAACCAGAGAGCATGATGCAAGTAGACATGGTGTGCTCTTGCGCATGTTTATCTGCTGCAGCCAATCAGAGCTTGATCTTTTTCCGCCATTTATCGACGGATTTTGTTTCAATACGCCTGCTATGATAGTGAAACTTTAAACTTTTAAATAATAAAATGATTAATTAATTAAATAATAAAATGATTAACTAATTAAATAATA